AATCATGGAATCAATCATGGAATCAATCATGGAATCATGGCACACAGCAGCTCAGGGGTTCTGCCACTGGACTGAGCATGGGCACCATCCCATCCTCGAGATCTGAGTGCTCCAACATTCCTCACCAGGCTGCTGGAATCCAGCTCCACTCCCACTTAATTACTCCCAGGGATGCCATATGAGGTTATTAAGTGAAATCATCATTTCTGGACCACTCTTCTCACTGTGTTACATTTGCTGCTCCATCAAGTTCCCCTGTGTTTTCTTCACTGGTTGCCACAGGACTCTTTGTCCTTGCTGGTAGCAAATCCTCAGAAGTATCAACATTTCACAGCCCCAAGCCTCTGGCCAGATCCACACAGGGTCTATTTTTTTTTCCAGAAATCCCTAGTTTTTTATGGCCTGGCTCCCAAAAAGAAAACAAGACAGCAGCCAGCAGTAGGAAGGAATGAAGTTGTTTCAGATCCCTGGATCCCAAACCGTGCTCGTGCCACCAAACACTGATGGCTGCTCATGATCCCCTGCTCTCACATCTGTGCCATTCCAGACCTTCTCCAGCTGCAGGGATCACTTCCATAATCTGATTTTTTCATGGTCAGAATGCCTCACAGAAATGACATAATCCCCAGCTTGAGCACTTGGTCACATGGACACATTCCTTCCCCATGCTCACACTGGCAAACATCTCATCTTCCTCCACAACCAGATACAAACTGACCCGTGTGATTTGTGCTCTCACATTTAAGGGATGGGAAAAGAACTGCCTGGGAATTGCTTTCAAACTGGAGCAAGATCCATTTCTTCGTGTTTCTAAAAGCTCTTAACCAAAATCCATGTTTTAAAAACAACATCGTTGACACTGATGAGATCAGCAGACAAAAAGGCTTTGGAGATCAGCATTAATTTGAATTACCATCTCTCTTAAAAACACATATTGAATGTGTTTGTAAAAGAAGTCTGAAGTCTCCTGCTTCAGGCAAATAATGAAGGAAAAATTGCCCTAATGCAGCCACCTGAGTGGCTTAGACTTGGTTTTCAATTGCCCCAAAAATAGCCTGAAAACCACTGGAAACAACAGCAGATAACAGCAAAGTGTTTCCTGCCATCACCAATTATCACACTTGCCCAAATAATCCCTTGCTGACCTGCTCTTAAGCCTTACCTGGAGTTTCAAATCTCCAATTCCATACAAAACTCACCAGAAGAACAAATCATTGCCACTCCAGATCTACTGGTGACCTACACAAAATATCATTATAGAGAATCTTGTAACAACAAGACCTCCTGGTTTATTGGGATCCAGTTCAGGGATCACTCCTGGGCCTGCCCAGACCCCCCCAGTTGTCCCTGGGAGTGTTGTCCAAACACTCCTGGAGCTCTGGCAGCCTCAGGGCTGTGCTCATTCCCTCATTCCAGTGCTCAACCACCACCTGGCAGGAAAAACTTCCCCCAAAATCCTGGTTCTGCTGGTTTCTTGGAAATAAAGCACAGGGAACACACTTGGCTGTGCTCAGTGTGTTCAGTGGAAGTGGCCACACCAGAACACGATGCTCACGTCCAGATTCCTCTTCTCATTTCAAACCAGTGGCTGTGCCTTTGTTCTCTATGAAACCACATTTGATTCCTTTTAAATTAACAAATACCGTGCCTTTAACACAAATAATATCAGTTCACAGCTCCATCACAGCTTAAATAATCCAAAGAATGGTGCACGTGGAGCAGACAGAAATCCATCAGCGTTCCTGCTGTGAATCCAGATTTTATGATCCTGAGATTGCCAACTTTTCCCATCACAATCTCAGCAAGTCTTTTGAAAAAAGAGACAGAAATGGGAAGTCAAAAACAAAGGTTGAGACCGTGCTGGTTTCAGCACTTGAACAGTATCAAAATTCGTGTTCCTTATTATTTCTACAATATTTACTACACTCACATCAAACACACTCTTAAATTGGAACCCAAAAGCCTGGGAGTTTTAAACTTTCTACACTGACCCTCCTGGAGAACACTGCTTTTGATTTGGGGCCTTGGAAAAGGCTTCCAAATTCGAGTGATGGAGTTAAAATCATTGGTGTGTAATTAGAATAAAAGTGTGTGGTGTCACATGGTGAAGGGTTTGGAATTTGGGGTTTTTAGAATACAGTAATAGATATGGGACAAGACAGAGGTTCTTGGGTGTTGTCTCTTTTTTCCTTTTTGTTCCTTCTTCTTCCTAGTTTTAGGCAGCAGTTTTTGGTTGGCTGGAGGTGCTGCACTGCAGGTCACAGGTGTTTGGTTATTGGGTCAAAAGTATAAATAATTCAGATGTTAGTTTTTAATTGGATAGTTGGGCTTTAAAAGACCATGGAACTAGCTAGGTCTACCAACATTTTCTTGCTTTTAGCTGTTAGCTAGAAGTGCTGCAGAACTCTCTGGACTTTAGATAAGAATTAATAAACAACTGAGCCTGAACACAAAAACCTTCAATCCTGACTGTGACTGAAGGCAGGAGAAGAAAGAAGAAAATCAGTCACTAATACCTTAAACCATCTCCACAAACAAAACCCAGCAGGACTCACCAAACACACTCCTAAAACATCATTGAAAACATCATTTAACACACATTTAACACACATTTAACGCCTGTTTCTGCACATCCAAAGCCCCCGAGTGTCACTCACAGCGAATCCCGTAGATCATGAGAGGGTCCAGCTGCTTCTTGCCGTGCTTGCCCTGTCCCGAGAGGTTGGAGATGGCCTGGATCTCCCTGTGGAACAGGTAATCCAGCAGGGTCAGGGCCATCTTCTCGGCCGTGCGGCAGTTGGTGCTGATGTGCAGCATGTCAGCGGGCGTGATGGGGCAGCGCACACGCATCTCGGGGTTGTTCTCGTCCCCCAGCCACGTCCCGTTGGGGTAATCCTCTGAAACACACGTTTGGGGAAAGGTTCAGCAAGGAGGCAGCCCCAGCACACAGAGCACAGCTCTGCAGTTTGCAGCTTTTTCCCCCTCTTTGCTTCCCAGTGTCCGTGTGTCGCTGTATAGGGGGGCGTGACACACAACAAACACTTTATACTTCAGGGGTTAATATCCTATTTATTGCAATAATGCACCAAATTTATACCCTCAAAAGGCACATTACACTTTAGGAGGGTAATATCCCATTTATTACAATAATGCAACAACTTTTATACCCTCAAAAGGCACACTATACTTCAGGGGGTTAATATCCCATTTATTGCAATAATGCACCAACTTTTATACCCTCTATGTAATTTACAATTTCTTATTGGTCACAATTAGTCAACGTAGCAGTCACTGGTGGAAAGTTCTCCACCTCTAATCTTCCCAGGACCTTTCTAAAAATACTTTCCACAGCTGTGGAGTTTTTTTTCCTCTAGAATCTTCTTCTCTCCTCTCCTCCTCTTGGTGTCCATGCTAACAGAAAATACTTCTCAAAACAATTCTCGTTTATTAACCCTCTCTAACCCACAGAGCAGCTGTGGGCCCTACTATATCCCTGAGCTTCCCCACTGATCACAGCAGAGACAGAAACCCAAATTCACCCCAACAGCACCAAAAATTGTTGGTGTTCACGTTCTGGTTTACACAGGAACTGGTGCAGCCAGTCCAGGTGTCCAACTCGCTCCCAGAGATCTCTTTTCTTGAGAAACCACTCCAGGCCCAGTGAAAATGAAGGGTTTTTTTTTTTTTATTTATCCCTGCAACTCTGGGATATTCTCAAAGCACAGCAAATTTCAAGCAGCCAACAGCTTTGTTTTTCCCTTACCCCCAAACCCATGAGATTAAAATAAGGCTAAGCAAGATTGTAAATTTAATAAATTATAATCAATAGTGAACAGGAACTTGTTTCATCATTTAAAAGGAGTGCATGGAGCAATGACAATCATTTAGGATGTGACCAGAGATCCCAGACAGAATTTGGGTTTTTCCTCATATTTACTGGCTACATTATTTTCTAAATAACAGTTTCCCAAGGAACAGAAGGATAATTATTCAATCATTAATCATCTTCCCTCTTATTCAAATACAAGACCATCAGCAGCACAGCTACACCCACCTACACACACTTTCAATATATTAAGAAGCTTTTTTATTTCTTTCCCAGTTTCTCAGTTTGTCAGGGGAAAAAAAAAAGGAATACCAGGGATTTAATGAAATAAATTAATTAAATTCAAAGGAATGCTAGGCTCTCAGTTAACCTGTGCAGACAATGACAAAATTTGGTGGATTCAAGACTAAGGAGAAACTGGAACAGAGCTCAGGACCAATCCCACCTCAAATGGAGGAGGAGACCCCATTCCAGACATAAACCAAACTTCCAGAATTCCTCACACTGCTAATAGGAACTGGGTGGAAAAAACTCCACAATATTTCAGTGTCCACTGCCATGGACCTTTAGGATTTGATTTCCATGTTTGCTCAACTCTGTGGAGTAAAACAAGGTTTGCTGACTGAGGGGTCACTCAGTACAACTGACAGGAATTTATTGTGAACAACATTCAATTGCAATTACATGAATGACTTTTCTGTCTTTAAGTGATCTCAGGGCAGGGTTTTGTGACCAAGTCCCCAATTCCTGGTTTCCATAACCCTTCCAGTCCCCAGAGAAGGTGGCAGAGCTCAGGTCAAGCAGCATCCCCATTTCACACCGAGCAGCACCCAGAGCAAGCAACATCTGGAATTCCAAATCCTGCACTGGGCTTTATCTGACTACAAGCCAGAAGAACTCCATAAAATATAACATAAAAGCAACTCCAAACTGCTTTTCCAGCACGACCTTTGGGTTGAGTCACCCCACATGTCAGGGCTGAGTTTATAGAGCTGAGTAACGACAGGATGAGGCAAACGTTGGATTGTGCAATCCTGATTTATCACTGAGAGCAGCAGATTATCAGCAACAGCAGAGCCACACCACCAGGGAATGGTTTGGGCTGCAAGGGACCTTAAAGATCATCTCCTCCACCTCTCTGCCATGGCAGGGACACCTTCCACCATCCCAGGGCTCTCCCAGCCCTGCCCAGCCTGGCCTTGGGCACTGCCAGGGGCAGCCACAGCTGCTCTGGGCACCCTCCCCACCCTCCCAGCCAAGAATTTCTTCCTTATATTCAACAACTTGCAAGGAAAACTATTTATTGTTGTTGTATTTAGCAAATTTTTGCTGCTGAAATCAGAACTTCACGCCCCGTCCTGAATATGTTTTTGTACACTTGCAAATTGTTTGTATTTTTTTTTTGTTTTAATTTGATCCTTTCCTTTTTTATCCTGAGCCAGGATAGGTCACACTGCCTGATTTCTGCTCCCAGTACCAGGTGCCATCTGAAAAATAAAGTGGTTTGGATGAGCTGTGCCTTGTTTTGCATGCCACTGTGTCTGGCCTCACCACAAGTCTGGTTACCATTATCAGGGAAAACAACAGGCTGTTCCTCAAGATAAATGGACTGGCTTAGAAAAATTTGGGCAGATCTGGTGAAGCAAAAACATCTCTGGATCAGTGTGTACGTTTTTCAAAGAAATTCTAGGAAGCCTGAATAAATTATCCTGCAGCCTATCACAGCATTGCTGGTGGATATAGGAAGTTTTATTCCTTATGGAACACCTTTTGCCTGCAGAGTTTTTTAACAAACATTGTTAACCTACATGAACCAAAGATTTCGTTCAATTTGCAAAATCCTCTCTTTTTTCTGCTGGCACAGAGTCCAGAACATACTGTTTTTACCACATGCAACTGCTCTTTTATTACTCCCAGCCTGGAAAAAAAGACATTATCTTGTTATTCTGACCTATGACCACAATCCCCCCACTAAATTATCTCTTGCATTTTCCTCCTGCTTTCAAAGTTTCAACAGAAAGGGAATTTATTTTATAACCATTTTGCATGAAGCATGACTGAAGTTAACCATGAGGGCACGAAAGATGAATTATTTCTTATTTTAGATCAACATCATTCCTGCCAGGCTGACAACACATCTGGCACTTTGCAGGGAGCAAACACAGGACTGGCACCCAAAAATCTGATGGAAAAAGGGAACCCAGGGCCATTTCTGAGTGAGGCACAAATGTCCTGAGCTCTGCTGTGGTGTGGAGGAGAATGGAAAAGGAAAGAGAAAACAGAATGGGAACTGGATGGAAAATTCTCTCTGAGCAATTAAATCCATAAACACTATTGACTAAATCTGGATCATTGGAGGCTCCCAGCACCCAGACATCCTTTAATGCACGTGGAATGGTTCTTTAGGTGTTTTATCAGGCTTTGGAGGTGAGATGTGGGTGCAATGTGGGGAGGGTGAGTTATTCAGAGCATGCACTGTAAAACCCACACTCCACCCCAGCACTGCACAGCCATGCCCTGCTGCTGCTGCTGCTGCTGTTCCTCAAAAACTTCCAAAAACTCAGGAAAGGTGATCTGGGGAGGAGAGAACAGTCCAGGAACACACCTGCCTTCAACTCAGTGAGGCACAACTGCACACACTCACCTGGAGCTCAGTTCTGCACACACCTTCTCATTTTAATTTCTTTAATTAACTGAGGAAGAATTTCCTTTTCTGGAGGGTGGCAGAGCCCTGGCACAGGGAGTGTGGGCTCTCCCTGCCTGGGATATCCCAATCCCACCTGGATGTGTCCCTGTGTCACCTGCTCCAGGTGTCCCTGCCTCGGTCTGGCTGATCCCCAGAGCTCCCTTCCAGCCCCAGGCATTCCCTGATTGTGTGAATTTTCCTGCTGCCCATTGAGGGGAAAGGTGATTCCTTGCCTTTTTTACACCAAATAAATATTAGATCACCACACAAGTGATCATTTCTCCTTCCAGGGCAGCTCTGCACTCACAGCCTCATCCCCACCACACACCAATTTCTCCTTCCTCTTCAATGTTCTTTTTTCAACATGACAAAACTCGCCTTTATCTCCATTCTACTGAGCCCAGTTGGCTTTTCAGTGCTGCTTTGGACTCTTCTTTTTTGCTGCATTTCTTTTATCTCCCAGCACAGCTGACCACCCATCCCTGTTTGGGACGTGCCACGCAAAGCAGGAATTCTCTGGGAACAGGAGGAGCCAATTTGGGGTCAGCAGCAAGAAAAGCCCTGTCAAGAGAACAAAAACCAGACAGGGGCTGCTCTGGACGTGCTCTCCCACCCAGGGATGGGATAAACACTGAGCTGTTACATTCTTCCATCAGGATATGCTCCCCTGGTCTAACATGGGAGCCTAAAAGCAAAGCCAGGCTCTGCTCTCTCTCCCCAGGAGCTGTCAGTCATTCCTTTAAAACCAGGCAAAACAAAAGGAAACACCTGCCCAAGGAAATACTGGAATTAACACATCTCATCACTCCAAGGAATTGTGTTTATTTTATTCTCAAGGCTGGGTGCAAAGTTGGCAGTGGCAGCAAAAGACTGGTAGGTGCAGAGAGGCAGAAAGATGAATTAATCTTTAAAAAATTAAAATAAACCCCAAAAAAACAAATCCTAACCTACAAAAATAAATCTTCATTTCTAGAGAAATTAAATAATGTTTTGGCTGATGTATAGAAGATTCAACATCAGCATCATGTGGAGGGTTGGAACAGGATGAGCTTCAAGGTCCCTTCCAAGCCAAACCATTCCATGGTTCTGTGATCTTTTAATGAGCTTCTGTCAATTAGCAAAAGTTCACAGGGGCAGTGATTAATTGGCAGAGACTCCAGAGCACTGACTTTATTAATTAAAAGTCATTAAGTGGAAAGGAGTGACAAGCAGGCTGTAAATTCACCTCCAGATCCTGCAGTGGGATTGAAAGCTGTGCTAAAAGAAAAGTTAAAGAGCTTTAAAGTCAAATTCAGCAAAAGCTCCAGCACAAAATGCAGCTCAGACACTGGGAATTCTGGAATCCTGGAATTCTGGAATTCTGGAATTCTGGAATCCTGGAATCCTGGAATTCTGGCTAAGGAACAACACACATGGCCTGGACACAGAGCTGTTCTTGTGTGGGGGGAAAGAAAGGTTTCATTTCCTTGTGAGCATCAAAGAAAACTCCCAGAATGATGGAATGGTTTGGGTTGGAAGGGGCATTGGAGATCACCCAATTCCAACCCCAGCACCTCCCACTGTCCCAGGCTGCTCCAAGCCCCCTCCAACCTGGCCTGGGACCCTTCCAGGGATGGGGAAGCCACAGGAAATCACATTTACTGATTTTTTTGGAATTCTTCTCTGGGAAATCCATCCCAGGGTCTCCCCAACCTTACAGGGAGGAATTCCTTCCCAGTATTCCCACCTAACCCTGCCCTATTCCAGTTTAAATCCAGAGGAATCTCCAGGTGAATATCCCTGAAGGAGAGACCCAGGCCCAGCTCACTCCCAAGCCCCTGTGGATCCAGGGCCAGGAGATATTTTGGGAACAGCCCCTGCACTCAGAGGTTCTTCAGCCACAGCACAACATCAGTGAGGTCACTTGTTTGTTAAGAATAAGCCTCAGTTTTGGTGAAATCCAAGATAGAGTCTCTTATTTTATGACTCATGGAAGGATGTGATCAGATAAAAAGTTCAGATAAAAAAAGATCCAAATAAAATTCAGAAAGTTAAAATCCATGGACTCAAAGGGGTTTTTTTAAATGTGTTTCGTGTCACAGAGATTTCTATTTTGGATTTTGCCCTTTTTTCCTTGTTTAACATATCTTTGTTATATTTGGGTGAGCCAGTGTTAACTCCAAATATCCCAGTGGCAGACACCT